CAATTACATTTTAATCTGGTTCAGCCTTACTCAGGAGTATTCCCCATGCTTAGTCTACCTCCCACACTCTACCACTTTGAAACCTCTGTTTTGGGCAAGTCTTTAAGATTATAGGTTATAGATGAATGTCCATCTGCATTGGTAAAAGGAGTTCCACACTAGGAGTTCCTTACACAGTTGAGATCACATTTCTGTCCCTTTCTCTCCCCTCAAAAAGATATCCTTAATACTTAGTTTTGCTTATTTGTGCAGAAAGGGAAGAAAGAGCCTGTAATTGGTTTTCTGATCTCTTGGAGAAAAGAAGTTATCCCATTGCATATTTTATTTTTAGTAAATAGGACAACAGGAATTGCTTAGGACATAGTCCTAAGCAGAACAATAAGAATAAATTTGTCCCAGAACACACCTGTCACTTTCAAAATATTTGTCCTTTTTGAAGGTTCCAAGTTAGATTCCTTGGTTGGAAATTGCAGTTCATTTAAATGCATCTGATCCTACTCTGTATGAGCTGGTTGGGTTATCACAGGTCCTTTCCTGGGAACTGTGGGTATAAACAAGAAATGTAATAAAAGCAAAAATACTTATTAAAATGTAAATACAGTGGCTGTATTCCTGATGCACAGCACTGGAAACCCTCCCTCATGGTACCTAAGTTGAGTACATGGTATCAGAGATCCTTTTTTATTTTAGCTTCTCAGTATATAGAAAGAACCTTATGAAATTACAGAAAAGGCATGAAATACTCTTTATGAAGAAAGGAAATCAAGGGAAAGCAAATCTAGCCCAAGACTTTAAAAAGCCCTCTCATTTCCTCCATATCCACCTTTGTCTTTTTTTTTTCCTCCTCTTTCCAAATGTTTATTTGTTTGAATAGATGTCTCTCAATCTCTAAGCAGGAACAAACCATACCAATGCATTTAGCAGCTGGTTCTGGAATCAGGGGGCTTTCATTACAAGATACGCAGTCTTTCACTTCATGTGGACTTTTTACACATTAGTTTTCTGTGTTGCTTATTTCTTGGCATCAGGACTCTGTGAGTGGAAGCATTGTGGTGTTTTCCAGTTAGACCTCTGCATGCCAGGGTCATCCCATGTCCCCTGTGGTATCTGATGATAACAAGAACACTTGGAGAGCATACAATAGGTACTACTTAGGGAAAAAGAATAAATAAGTCTGATAGGGAGAGTATACTATTTGCCTCCTGGCCCATAGTCCAACCTTTAAAAGGGGGCAGGTCTAAAAAAAAAAAATGAACAGCAACTCTAACTCATTAATGAGAGAATATGATTAGCCTACCATGATAGCATAAGCCTGAAGTTATTTGACATGGGCTTTAGAAAGATTTTTTGACTGCTTGTAAGCAGCCAAAACAAGATCTGTTGCAAAAAAGGGGAAGATGAGTCCAAATTCTTCAAATGGATTGTGATTAAAAAAAAAAACAACATAGCCAGAGTGTAGTTTTGATTTGAGCCTATGATGTTTTTATTCTTAAAACAAAAGTTTATTATAGTGGCACATATGGAAAAAAGTCCTGAAGTCAGGAAGACAATTTCAAATCCAGCCTCAGATACTTACTAGCTTGGGCAAATGACTTAACCTCTGTTTGCCTCAGTTTCTGCACCTGTAAAATGGATGTGATAATAACACTTACCTCCCACTGTTGTGAGGATCAAATTTCTTAAAAAGTGCCTGGTGTAATGTTTGAAACACAATAGGTATTAATTGCCACAAAGCAGCTTGGAAAGTATTGCAGCTATGGTTGTGTGCCCAAGTATCTTGTCTCAGATTTATATATCCTGTACAAAACATGAATGTTTCCTGAATAAAATATGAATGTTCCCAGTACAACATATTAATGTTTCTCAGAAGAAACTCTAAATACTGAGGGCTTAACTTGTTAAAGAATCCCAAGATGACAGCTTAACAGGACAACTTTAAAATTAGACGAGAATAACCCTTTGTTATAGTAGTGAAAATCAGTGAATAAAAAAAAAAGTATAGTCAGGTTATATTATTGTTTACTTTGTCCATATTGTCTGGTTATAATTTTTAAACTTTAATAAAATATAAATTTTAAATAGAAAAAATCTAAATGTTAGCTATCAAATTATTATTAGCCCTTATTATTATCATTAAAATTGTAAATGCTAGCTATTATTATGATTGTTGATTGTATTTTTTCAGACATGAAAAAAGTTATTGCTTGCAGTAAAACATACATTGATTTTCATACTTGGAAATTTAAGCAGGATGAAATAACATTAGTTTACCAGCCATAGTGAAGTAGTTGCAGAAAACTGTAATGGTTCATTCATTCATTTGTTTATCTGTCCATTCATGTAATAAGCATTTATTAAGTGGCTACTATAGTTTTTTAATAAACGGTGCCCATAATATTAACATGGGACGGACAATAGAAAGAATGCTGAATTTGACATCAAGAAGAACTTAGGCTCAAATCTTGTTTTGCTGTTTAATACTTTTGTGACTTTGAGCCTCTGGGACTAAGTCTTGTCTTCTATAAAATGAGAAGTTGAGGGACCATTCCCAAATACATAAATGGTTAGTGAATTCAAAAAGGCACATCTCAAAGGAAGACATTCAAACTATCACTGTCCATATCAAGAAAATGCTCTAGATCACTAATAATTAGAGAAATACAAATTAAAACAGCTCTGAGGTTCCACCTCCTTCTCATCAGATTGGCAAAGCTGACAAAAGAAGACTACGACAAATATTGGAAGAAAATAGACACACTGATACACTGTTGGTGGAACTGTGAATTTGTTCCAGTTACTCTAAAGCAATTGTAACAATGCTACAAAAGTTACTGATTTGCATGTTCTTTACTTCAAGTATATAACCTATACCTCAAAAGAGATCAAAGAAAGAGGCTAAAAATCTTTATGTATAAGAATATTTATTGCCACTCTTTTTGTAGTAGCCCCAAACTAGAGACTAAGCATACATGGGAATAGCTAAACAAACCATGGCATAGGAATGTAATGGAATTTTTATTCACACACACACACACATACACACATACACTACACACAATAAAATGGGCAGTTTCAGAAAAAACTAAGAAAACCTCTATGATCTGATGCAAAGTGAAGTAAAAAGAACTAGGAAAACAATTTACACAATGACAACAACATTAAAAAGAAAAAATAAACTTTGAAAGACTTTAGAAGTCTGATTAACACCATGATAAGCCATGAGCCCAGAGGTCTGAAGATGAATCATGCTACCTACCTATTGCTAAAGAAGTCATGGACTTAAAATCCAGAATGAGGTATACATATTTCAATACAACCAAGGTGGTGATTTCTTCTGCTGGACTATGTGAGGGTTTTGATTTTTTAAAAAGATTATCTTATGGGGATGGGGGCGGGGGGAGACAATGGGAAGGAGAAATAATAAACATTTATTGTATTTTTTTACATGAAGGGTTTATACCATATGACTATAAGGACCCTTCCCGCTATATATCTATGGTCATTTGAGTTATAAAAGGAGAAATACTGTTTTTTTTTTTTTTCAGGATTAGTCAGTTGACCCACGGTGTTAATGGTTCAAGGCTCAACAAAGTCTAAGCTCTGTTCTTTATGCATGCTTCCCAAACACAGGTGGGAATGAGAACAAACTGGTGAACTGCTTCCCAAGGTCCCACAGGGAAGCCCTTGGACATGAGGGAATTATTAGATCCTCTTTGTTTTTTCAATCTTTTAAGCAGAAATTGCTATTTTAAGACTTTAAAGGGAAACTTATCTGTTCTGAACAATTTGACTCTTTGTACTATTGATTTGTTTTTAAGCAGAAATAATTTAAGCAACTAAAGGAATGAATCAAGCCAAGAAAAGCTGGGAAGCTGAAATCAATGGTTCCATCATCTCAGTACTAATTTATTTCCATATGCGTTGAGGCTTTGGGGTATATATGTATTCTGATGTCTGCCAACACCTTCTACTTTAGGTCAGTCTAATACTAGGAGAATGTGCCTTCAGGTTGGCCTTAATTTAGATCTTTTTTTGTTTTGTTTTTGTCTGGAATACTGTGCTTTATTTCATCTTGGAGCATTCTGAACCTGGGAGCACCATTCTTATTATGACTATCACATCCCATTATTCAAGGCCACTGTTCACCAGGCTGTTTTGGATTTCTGCCCTATACGTTTTTAAAACTTCTCATCCTCTTTGCCATTTACCATATTTCTTAGAACAGGTTTCCTCCTTAGATGTCTTTACTTGTAACAGATTCTTGTAGATAAAGCTGGAATGAGGGTCTGGTCACGATTTTGCCCCTTTCAGCTTTCCCTCCATTTCCTTATGCCACCTGTGATGATGCTTCTTTCAACTTTGAGGAAGGTGTAAAGTCTATGGAAGGAAATTATTTCTATTGTCAGTCTCAATCATTGTCCAGTCTTAGAGAGTTTAAAACATTTTACCAGATCACTTTGATCATTAGATTTCTCATCTTCTCTTTAGAGAGAGAACTGATGAACTCTGAATACAAATTGAAGTATGTTTTTTTCATTTTCTTGCTTCTTCTTGTTGTTGCAACACGGCTACTATGGAAATATATTTAACATGACTTCACATGTATAATTGATATCATATTGCTTGTCTTCTCAATGGGTGGTGGAGGGATGGAAAGGAGAGAATTTAAAACTCAATTTTTTAAAAAAAAATGAATGTTAAAAAGAAAGAATAAGTTATAGAAGCTATTCACCTTTACCCCTTATTAGCTCTGCAGACCCACAACAGTTGGCTTAAATTGTTAAATTTTTCCTAAACTTTAATGTTTTACCTCTATCTTCTCAGTCTAATGACAGATACCTATTTCTAGCATTTTGGTGTATTGTAAAGAACAATGAACTTGACATCAGAAGATCTGGTTTGAGGCACATCTCAAATATTTATTAGCTCTGCGACCGTGGAAAGTAACTTTCTGAGACCCGGATTCATCATCTGTGAATAATAATTTTTTTTAAAAATAGGAAGCTTTTGGCCAAGATGGCTTTCTGAATGGGAGGCAAACTGCTCATCTCTCACATACCTACTCCAACAAAACCATAAACTTCGTGCCAGACCAGGTAATTATCAAGAAATTCAATGAAGACCTACAGTAAGTGACATCTTCCTTCTTGGAATTGCATAAGAATTCAATTAGAGGCCCCAGAATAAAAAGAAAGGAGTCCTATTAGCACAAGCCATGGCAGAGCAGCCTCCTACCATGCCCAAAGTTAGGCCAAGGACTCTCATAGTCTACAAGCTTCTGTGTTGGGAAGGAAGAGAGCACTAATTGCAGAGGGCTCCCCCCAAAAAAACTCTAGAGTTATCAAAAAGTTCCATACAGAGGCAATGAGCAGTGAGCAGTGGGCGGTACCACCGCTCCCAGACCCAGACCACAACTTTCAGACCAGGACAGCTCAAGTCCAGGGGTCCTTAGGTCTTCTGGAGATGCCAGAGAAGGCCCTGAAGGTCTAGCACTGTGGATCTCAAAGATCCATGGGACACTAACCCCAGAAAATGGAGATCAGCTCAGGAACCTAGATGACTGAAGAGGAAGCTCAGCAGGGCCAACTACCTCACTACAAAGTCCATCAGGAGTAGGAGCCTGGCCCCAGGACAAAACCCAAATTCAAAACTAAAGCTGGAGAGACGAGTAAATAAAAGAAAGTACTATTCAATATAAAAAATTACTGTAATTGTAGAGATTCCCACACATAAGGAGTAGCTCTGTGACAAATGCAAAAAAGAGATTCAAAGGAAAAAAATATGTGTTTTCCACAAGGACTGCAAGAATACTTAGAAGAAATGAAGCAAGAGAGAAAAATGAAATGAAAACTGTGGAAGAAAGACTTAGGAGAATGATAAGGACAGCTAGGTGGCATAGTGAATAGAGTGCTGTTCCTGGAATCAGAAAGATCTGAATTCAAATCCAGCCCCAGATATATGCTAACTGTCTATTCTGATCGTCAGGGAATCCATTTCTTGGGAAAGTTTCTGTTGTTGTTGTTGTTGTTGTTGTTGTTGTTGTTGTTGTTGTTGTTGTTGTTGTTGTTTAGTTATGCCAAAGTCAAAGCTACTGGTATGGTTTGCCATTTCCTTCTCCAGCTCATTTTACAGATCAGAAAACTAAGGCAAACAGAGTTAAGTGACTTGCCCAGGGTCACACAGCTAGTAAGTGGCTAGAAATGGGGCTAGATTAAGAGGCTAGATTTGAACTCAGGAAGATGAGTCTTCCTGACTCTAAGCCTGGAACACTATCCATGCACCGCCATTACCACTCTCCTAAGTCTTTGTTCCAGGGCTTTTATTTTATTTTTTCTTTCTTGCTTTTAAGTCTCTTAACCTCTAGAAGTCCACCTCCATTTCCTTATCTGTAATTAGGGATAATAACAGCACATCTCTCCCAAGGCCTTGGTGAGAATCAAATTAGATATAGAGTACTTTCCAAACTTTAAAGAAACTGTATAAAGGCTAGTTGTTACTATTATAAATATTAATTCCTCCTATTCTACTCTTGAACCAAATAAGAATTCGTAGGTTGACTACTATAGACTTCCCTCCATCTGCATGTTATTGCTTCATCTACATATAGCCTGCTAGTCTATTCATGTTAGGTTGAATGGTTAACTTTACATGCTATATAGTAATTCTGTAGTATTTTTAAAAATTGTCTTTCCTTAGAAGAATTCAAAGCCTTTACACACATTACCATATTGGTTCAAATATAGGTCACATGCATTTTTTCTTCCTGGATCCAGATTTTATAAAACTTGATATCTGCTTGTAATTGGTGTGATTTTAAAGTGTGGCCTATAAACTGTTTCCTTTAAAACAAATCTCATTTTAGGATGTGGTCTGTATTTGCACCAACTTCTTTCATCTTGCCATGAGTTTTTGTCCCCCATGTTTATTCCTGACAATAAAAGTGATTATACACATTTTATTATTTCTCACAGCAAACTTGATGGAATTATTTGCTGATTTGTTTTTTTTTTTCTAAGCCATATGAAACACAAAGGTATTTTAGACATTGCATTTTGGTTTTTTGTTGAATTGGCTTCAGGCCAGCTGATTTTAGGGGTTCATCTTAAATTTTGCTGGACCTAAGTCCCCCTAACCACAAGCAGAGATTAAACAACTCAGAATGACAGGAAGGTTCCCCTGCTCTGTTTGCTCTGACTTTTCTGGTCAGAGTTAATGATTTGCTAGACTGAACATTTCTGTCTTATCACTGCTGTTGCTGTGTACCAGCAAGACCCTGTGACATTTAATTCCTGATCACCTGAGAGATCAGCTCTAACTAGTCCAGCCTAGCAATTCATTCTTTTTGCCCTGACTTCCCTTTCCCTATTCCCCTCTGCACCTCTCTCATTTTCTTGCCCCATTTCTTAAAAATAGTCACACAAACTGTGAGAAAGCTTGGCCCTGAGGTAGAGATGAGAAAATCCATTTCTCTTCCTTTAGTGCAGAGCTAAGGGAAACTATGAGGATGTAATGTTTTGTCTACTGTCACACTTGGCTAATGTCTTAATTAGTTTTGCTGAGCTTTTTTTCCTCTTTATTTTAGTTTTTTTTTTCTTGTTGTGGTTGTGGTTGTTACAAGACATGGCTCTCTGGGGTGGGGACAAGGTGGGATATACATGGAAATAAAGATGATGTAAAAAGAAAACTTAGCTATTAAAAAAATTTACCTATGTAGGCAACCCAGGCTTAGTCTTTCTAGTACTTGCTACTTCTTCCCTTTGGAAACTGAAACCAGTGGTAGAGAGTTGGGTAACATAAACAGGAGCCTAAATGATCAAAGATGTTATTGTAGGCTTACAGAACCACAGAATGATCAGTGGATAAGGGACCTGAATGGTTGTCTGATCCAACCTCTATTCAAAAAAGAACTAATGATAATAATAATAAATAATGGCTAACATGTAGTGCTTACTTTGTGTCAACCACTGTGCTAAGTGTAAGGTAGGTACTATTATTATCCCTATTTTACAGATGAAGAAACTGAGACAAACAGAGGTTAAATGATTTACCTAGGGACGCACAGCCAGTAAGTGTCTGAGACTGGATTTGAACACAGGTCTTCCTTACTCCAATTTGTGTGCTCTATCCACTGTGCCACCTAGCTGCCAATATATAATATACATGGTATATTGTCATCCAGTTTCTACCTAGAGGCATCTAAAGAGAAAGAACCCATAACCTCCTGATGCAGTTAATTCCACTTTGGGATACCTTTCATTGTTAAGAGTTTTTTCCTGACATCAATACCTAAATTTCTCTTTGCCACTCCATCCAGCATTCATGGTTCTTTCTTCCTCTTAGGGCAAAATGGACTAAGTCTAATCTCCCTTTTTATATGACAAACCTTTAAACATCTGAAGACAGCTATTAACTCTACTTGAAGACCTCCAAAAAAGATGAACCCACTACCGTCCAAGGCAGCCCATTCCACTTATGGATTGTTCTAATAATTAGGAAGTTTTTGTTTTGTTTTTTTTTTAACCTTAACATCAAGCCTTAGTTTGACTCTTTGCAATTTCTGTCTACTGTTCTTGGTTTTGCCTTCTGGAGTTAAATAGAATGAACTTCATTCCCTTCTCACAAGACAGACTTTCAAATATTTGAAGACAGTTATCATGCTTTCTAGCCAGGTGGCTCAGTGGATACAGTAGTGAGCCTGGAGTCAGAAGGACCTGATTTCAAATCTGGCCTCAGACACATACTAGCTGTGTGACCCTGGGCAAGTCACTTAACCTTCATTTGCCTTAATCTACTGGAGAAAGAAAGAGCAAACCACTCCAGTATCTTTGCCAAGAAAACTCCGTGAACAGCATTGGCATTCTATGGTCCATGGGGTCATGAAGAGTTGGAAACAGCCGAATGACTGAACAACAACAATCATGTTCTTCATGAAAATTCTCTTCTTACTGAGCATCCCCAGTTCCTTCCACCAATACTCCTATGGCAAGGACTCAAGGCCCATCACCATCCTGGTTGTCTTACTCTATACCCTCGTTAGCTTATCAATGTGCTCTCTAAACTGTGGAGCTCAGAACTGAACACAGAGCTCCAGCTGTTCATCATCTAGATGTGATATAACCAAGGCAGAGTGTAGCTCCTTAGCTATCTTAATGCAGGCCAAATTCATATTAACTTATAGTCCACTAAAATCCTCAGGTCTTTTTGATCATTGAGACAGCTAAGTGGCACGGTGAATAGTAGCGTGTGGATCTGGAGTCAGGAAGACCTGAGTTCAAATTGTGCCTCAGACACTTACTATTTGTGTGACCTTGGGCAAGTCACTTAACTGCTATCTACCTCAGTTTCCTCACCTATAAAATAGAAATATCCACTTCTTAGGGAGGGCAGCTAGGTGATGCAGTGGAGAGAGTGCTGGCCTCAGACACATACTAGCTGTGTGACCCTGGGCTAGTCACTTAACCCTGTTTATCTCAATTTCTTCATCTGTAAAATGAGCTAAAGAAGGAAATGGCAAACCACTCTAATATCTCTGCCAAGAAAACCCCAAAATGGGGTTATGGAGAGTAGGACCTGACTGGAAATGACTGAACAACAACAAAAACTTGCCAGGATTTTTGTGTGGATCAAATACGATCATATTTGTAATGCTTTGCAAATACTATTAATCATCATCTTTTTTTTTCTGGAAAAACTGCTGTCTAGACATGTCTCTCCCATCTCATACTTTTGTGTTCATTTTCTGTGCCTCACAAACCCTTCATTAAAGGGAAATCTTGGAGAGGGACTAGAGGGAAAGGTGGTGGTACAGGGTTGGTCAGAGCATTAAAAAGACATCCAGTAGCAATGTTTCACTGAGGCATAATGGTCTTAATTCATTTTTTTGATATAGAAATATATAAAGCACAAAATGAATTATAAGTCAGTGTCCTGTATAGGACTGGCATTCCAAAAATTCCCTTCATTTCTTAGCCTGACAAAATCCCAAATAGGTTCTGGCTGTGCCACCAGATTTACCTGTTTGAGTTGCAGATAGTATGCACCCTGTAAATATAGAACAAATGATTGATGTATGGATTTCACTTGCCCTCTTGTCAGA